AGCAGCCATACAAAAAGAAGAAATGTCCCACGTGCTCATCATGCTGCACGCAATACGCCTTTCTGCAGCACACGCAATAAAATGCAAACACGCTTTCTGTAGTTTTGGAGCTGGATAGCTTGGGCGATTCTGATACTGCAGCAAGGGACATTCTTTCTGAGTTCACCTCCTCTATTCTCTCTTTTAATGTGTGTTTAATATTTGAAAGAAATTAGATACTTTTCCATGTTTTATGGATAGGATTTTTTACACATGCCTGAATTATTTTGATATGAATATTTTTGCACGACTGGCTCATCTTTAAAATGCTAGCAAACACTCACAGCTCCCACTAGATAATCATGATGTACTTTCCTCCCAGCTTAGCAGGCCTGAAGGGTAAGTAGGGAGCTTAAAATCTTTGTTATTCATTATTTTTACTACCCTGAGTAAATCTATAACATGGATACAGCAGAGTTATGGAAGAACCTTGTTGTAATGAGTGATAGGGCAATACCCTATCCTATAACAGCCATACAGACAGATGTAAAACAAAGCAAGGGATAAGAGGGGCGAGGAGGATATCAGTGACACAGATATAGGATTAGTGAGGCCCCAGATTTGCTGTTTGCACTCAGCAAAGATCTGCATCTACAGTTCTCTGTAAACATCAGCTCAAAATTCACCAGCATTCAAACACAGTACTAGGTGCTATTAGGAAAGGCATTACAATGCAATAGAAATAGGACTGTGATACTGTAAAACCCGTGGAATGCTTCTACCTTATGTATGCATGTAGGTCTCTCATCTTAAAAGGGATGTTCAAAGATGAACATCTTAAGCAGTAAAAGGCAGGCTCTTGAAACGGAAAAGAAATCCATGAACTAGGTTGTCTATGTGTTTTGTGTCTGCATACACTGCTGGACAGCTGGACAGTGCAAGACAGCGGTTGGATCCTAATTCAATGTGGGACATCTCTGGGAAAAAGAGCAGTTGCTGTGCCACTTGTGCAGCACATCAACGGCATACAGTAAGCAGTGGCATGCCAGGAAGACAAGCTAAGGGTAAGGCGGATCCTCCTTGACCAGCACTTGTGTTTACCAAAACCAGAGCTCAACTAGCCTTCATGGAGCCACTAAAAGGAGGAACTGGGAAGCTTGCAAAGAGCAAGCACTGTGATAGCGGCAAGGCTACCAAACGCACCAGTACCTAGTGAGTGTGGTAACTGCCAGTAAAGGGAAAATCTGAATTGCTCCAATAGCTCAATTTGTGAAGCCCATCTGTGGCACAAAGTAGGACATGAATACTCCGACGACATCATACATATGGGTCTCTTTCTTAGTGCTAGGAAGTATTTACAAGGATTTGGCCAAGATAACGGGTAATCCAGAACTGATGTCATTGACCTGGGAATTCCTGGGAAGCGAAGTTGATTTTCAGAAAGATCACTTGTATACCACATTTCTGTCACACAGGCCTTGAAGGACATGCTTGTTTACACTAAGTTTCTGTTTCTTTAAGTGGAACAAAGGTCATGTTTTCATGATGTCTGTATGATTGTCTGGTATATGTGAGAGAATTGTGGTGTGCATGACTGTAGAGGCTCGTACAATTAGCTTCTGTGGGACATTCAAAAAGTACTTAGTAAACCACAGTCTGTTTAGTCAGAGTTGTGAGTTGGCTATGGCTGGACCAAATAAGAATGTCTCACGTCTTCCAGTAAAAATTGCCTTTTTTTTTTCTGAGTGCAGATGGTTCAAAAAGATCACTTTGAGATGTTTCTTCTTCAGTTACCAACTTTTTGGTGGTTTGCTCAAAGCTTGGTGCTGAATTTCACCCCCTTGCAGGCTAAAAATCTTATTTAATCACCAGGGAAATTGTAGCAAACTTCTCTAGCATCTGGCAGGCTGTGTCAAAACATGAGTGTAAGATGCAGGCTCTGGAGAGCTGGTCCATATTAGTAGGGTCTGCTCTCACTTTTGGGGAAATGGGGACTTTACTGTGCCAGCTCTAATTAGCCTGAGGTGTAGCAGCAGAACTTACAGAACAAAGACTCATACTGGTCACTTTGCCTGAGCTGTGATACTTAAAGAAATGATGCTTGAAAGTGTGTCACGTGCAGTACGTGGAAGGAAGGTGGGCACCTGTAGGGGGGAAAGGTTGCAGGGTGCCTTACCCACCTGGCACTGCAAGGGAGAAAGCAATGGATTCAATCCAAAGGAGACACAATGAAATGAATATATTTCATTATAATAAACCAGGTAACTAGCCATAATGTCTGAGACATTAAAGGCTTTTCTTCATGTGTTCATATGCAAAACTATGAGGAATCCCTCTGGTAATAAAGAAATGGGCTTACTGTGTGACGCAGGAAGGAGAAAACTAGCAGCTACATGTCTGTCCCAGGGAGAGAAAGATGTCATGTACATGACATTTGAGGAACTACAGTTCTTCGTGCTTTCTTTAGCTAAATAGTATTTTTTTTATCCTGTATGATTAGAGCTTCAGGAAGTCTTGCATGTCCGGTTCAGAAAGTAGTCATATCAGCAGTTTTAGATTGGGGTTTCAGCTTGTTCCAGGGCATGTTCCCCAAAATACAGCTTCTTTGAAAGTCTTTTGCATAGCAGATAATTTGTTGGGACAAGCTTCTATCGCCAGTCATGAGGCAGGGTGTCCAAAAGATTGGTTTTAAATCCTCTCTCTGAAAATGGACTCACATTCACTCTTTCAGTAGCAATGTTTGAATTTTAATGAGTGCACATTTGTTTTCTTACATGCTTTTAGACAGGACTCAAACATACCTAATGGTTTCTTGGTGGCAGAGTGGGCAGATGGGGTACAGGCAGTATAAACTGGCACCACACTGGTAGCTTCAGCAAAGAAGTCAAGCAGAAAGGCAGCAAAAACCAAGCTTCCATCACACCAGCAAGGCTATACTGTTCAAGAACGGGTGGTGCTGCTGCCTCCGTTGTCTTCCTCAGCAGGATGACAGCTGGTGGTAGCTCTTAGCCTGCAGCCTCGTAAGAATTTGTTCCACCAGGTCTTGCCACATCACAGTCAGCTTTTGCTCTGGGCTGCCCATGCTTGCCACAGGCAAGTTTTACTGCGGCAATAAGCAGAGCTCAGCTGAAATCACACTCAGCAAGCCATCCAAGCGTGGAGATGCCTCCACTCAAAGACTGAAATGAGACCTGCACAATTCTCATCAGTTTACTGACTTTGGGCAAATGAAGATAGTCTCCAGTTTTCACCACCCTGTGCAGAGAGGGAAGAAGCCATCATTGGCAAATGGCTGCACTTCCAGAGAAAGGGCTGAGCTCAGACACAGTGTAAACACTTCCAGCTAAACCAAACCAATGTTTGGTGTGATGGGATGTAGCTGTGGCAAAACTACACCAATTACCTTTCCCACCCAGCTCCAACAGAAAATGGCTCCCTGTATTCAGACACGTCCGCCTCCTGCTCAGAGATACTAGTCTCCTGGTGCAGTTGTTAGAACTATATGCTAGGGCATGTCTATTGAACAGATGCCAAAAAGTTGCTTTAGTGAATGATTAAAATCCTGTAACAGAATTCACTAACTAGGTCAGTAGATTTGCTTTTATACAGGTTTCTCATCTTCTGTAATTCCTTCTCCTTTTGGTAATAATCAGCAGGCACATATTAATCCTGTGCATAGGACCTACTTAAAACTTTTGGATGTACTTTTAAAGGTGCCCCTACAGAACATACCCAGAATGTCTCCTGGGTTCAAATGTCTCAGCCACCAGTTATAAGCCATCTCCTCGGAAAACGCTGCGTGTGCTTGCAGAGCATGAAACATGATGGCTTTTGCCCAGGAACTGGACTATTGCAGAAGAAATGTGTCCCAAGATAGTCTGTGATGCTGTAAAAATGAGAGCACCAGGCAGTGAGCATGATCACCGGTGGACGGTAAAATCTTATGTTAACATGAAGTACGGATGATTCTAGCTTGTTGACATTTCGTTTCCCCATGCACCATCTCCATGGCCCTGGTAGGTGTAACTGCATCTGTAGCTGCAATGCAATAGGACTTAGTTTCTGGGCAGGTGGGAGAAAATGGAGCTTTTGCAGGGAAATTCCTATCATAGTAAAGAGCAGGATATTGTTTTTTAATGTCTCATTTCTGTATGTTTTCTGTCAAAACAGAAAAAAGCAGTGAAAGTGGCATCCTAAGTTTTCTGATCTAAAAGGCTCAAACTGTTTGGCAAAGAAACTAGGGCTGGTTGTCTTCCTCGCTCGTGTCACAGACTGACCTACTCAGAAGGTGAACGGGGTTACCCTCAGAGGGTCTGTTGCTGCAGAAGTTGGTTCATGTGTCTGGTGGAAGAGCTATGTACCGTCAGCAGGCTAAGACACTAAGGAAATGGAATTGAGCATCAACAGGTTGGTCTCTGCCTCGTGCTCCTGCGTGCTGTTAGGTGAGTCACTGTACTCAGACTTGTGCTTTTCCACTTCTGGATAACCAGTTTTGAGCCCTCATGGTACAATGGAGAGAGATGCTGAGCACTCTGCTGAGCAATATCGTCACACACAAGTCAGAGGGAACTGAATTCATGCTTCCCAAGCATCCTCAAGTTTGTTTTCCCTTGCTGCCAAGTGCTTGACTGTGTGGTCAGCATAAAGCTTTTTCACCATGAAGTGAATGCAAATATGGAAGAAAAGAATGAAAAAAATTAAAAAAAAAAAAAAAAGAAACGCACAATTTTGAAGAACAGTAAAAAAGAGCACTAGCCAGAAAAGTGAAGAGAATAATAAGAGAAATGGCTGAGGATCAGGGAATATGAAATAGAATTGGAAAGATCCTTACAGTCTTTGTCCATCCTTTACCCTTCACCTAAGTCAGCAGTGAAGTGGACTCGTGATATTTCAGAAAGAGGATCCTAGATGACAAAGGACAGAAGAAAGGGAAGTGTTCTTCACTTGCCTTCTGCTCTCAGGAGCGTGGGGGTCTCTCACAAAGTGCAGGGAAAGGAGGACAGACCTGCAGTTCTGGGAGAATGGGAGAAGTTGTGCGGATAGTGGTGTTTGTGATGGCTTTCATCAGCTGCAATGGTGAGTAAATGCTTCCATGTATAAGAACAAAAATCAGAGTACTAAGAGGGTAGGAAAAATCTTTTGAATTACAGTGTGTTAATCCTTAAAAACTGTGAATTGTAGAAAGTCTTTAGTTTCTTGCACAAAAAACAGAGCCTGAGAATTCACAGGAGTCTCCTTTGGTATCAGATACAACCAGGTGCTTGAAAGAGTGGAGCAGACAGGGCAGTATGGGGCAAAAGGCCAGCTCCCATGCCCCAAAGCAAGAACAAAACAGGATTGTTCAGGACCCTTGGAGAGGACCTGCTCTGGTGTGCTACCTTCCAAAACAGTCTTTGTGAAGATGGAATATGCATTCTTCTAGAATTCCATATTGCATCACCATTGTTCTGCTAGCATGGTCCTGGGAAGAAGCAGCGCTGTAACTGTGAGGCTAGGTGTGGGCACACACAATTCCCCTTGGTCCCTCCTGATCTACTGACTCTCTAGGTGCATTTGGAGAGGTAATACTGGAATCTTTGCTTTGATTCATATGCCCACAAGGCGTATGTGCCACTCCCACGGCACATATGACACTGACACCAGCAGAGGAAGGTTTTGGGACAACAGGAGAAAGGTGCTTTAACAAGTTGTATACAGAAGCACAGAGTCACTCCTGACATTTAGAAAAACAGGTTGAAGTATGTTCCCCATTTCATCATAAAAAAACAGCTTTGCAGATTTCTGGGATCTGCCTCTCAAGCAACTTCTTGTGAGTTAATAAGCTGAACGTAAATAGTGTCTTTCTGGGGAGGAGAGAAAAGGGGCAGCAGCATAAGGGGGTCTGGGTAGAGGTGAGCCAAGTCCAGCTAAATCCAGATAATCTGCTACTGACACGAGGCACTTCCCAGAGGATTTGTGGTCTCAGTGGGCAGACAGCTGGAACAACTGGGAGAATGAGCCAGGTACCACAAAATCCACCCCCTCTTCTCTAGTGCCCGCTTGAGTGCTTGGCAGGGTGCTTATCTGGTTGAAGCAGGTATGATCCAAGAAATCTAGGACAGATCTGAAGTTCTCTAAGGCTAAAGCAAAAAGATTGGGGTTTGGTCCACCGTTCCTGTTCCAGGTTCAGTACTTCAGAGCAGATTCCTAAAGGCTCCTTGCTACATGGCGCTTCCATCCCACCAGGAGAGCTGGTGCTGGCAGGATAGGAAGGAAGAGGCTCAACCATTTTAGAAAATGGGCCAGAATATGAGTTCAACATTTTTTCCATTATCATGCATTATAGATAATGCAAATCCCTCTCATCAGTCTTCTAATCTCTAACTTAGCCCTTCAGGTTTTCGTCTGGTCCAGCTTGATTTCCTTCCAGTGGGAGAATTCACATTGTTTGTCTGGAAGACTACATCCCAGTTTAAAATGTGTCGCTGGAAGGAAATACTTCTTTTAAAAATGCTGTCTCCAGGATTTTTATTTTGCTGAGTTTCTCCCATTCCTTCCAATCAGCTGTCCATTGGAGTTGTCCCTGCTAATGATGAAACTGGTCATACACAGAGTGTAGCTGCTCTGCAGGGAATCAGTGGATGCTGGCAGCTGTTTCATGGCATACAGCAATGCAGAACAATATGGGAAAGATGTTTAAACAAAATGATGTCCAGATGAATACACTGGATAGCAAGCATAGTTGAACTTAAGTGCACTAAATGCCTTGAGGGCATTTCTGAGCAGTTTTCTAAATAGCTTCTACCCTTCTTAGTTTTTCTTGGTGGGAGTCTGTGAAGAAGCTGGAGAGGGCCTTTTTACAAGGGCACATAGTGATAGGACAAGGGGGGAATGGCTTTAAACTAGAAGAGGGTAGATTTAGGCTAGATATAGGGAAGAAAGTCTCCACTCTGAGGGTGGTGAGGTCCTAGCACAGGTTGCTCAGAGAAGCTGTGGCTGCCCCCTCCCTGGAAGTGTTCGAGGTCAGGCTGGACGGGGCTTTGAGCACCCTGGTGTGGTGGAAGCGGTCCCTGTCCATGGCAGGGGAGTTGGAACCAGGTGATCTATAAGGTCTCTTCCAACCCAAACCATTCTGTGATTCTATGAAAAGAGGAAGACAAGTGGAAAGCCTTTAAAAACTGATAAATCAAGGAGTTGCATTTGACTGGGATGTGAAATTTGAAGAATGGAGCTGTGCCTGCCCTCTCAAAATCATTTGGTAAAGGAAAACCAAAGCTCCATGTCAGAAACAGGCTTCCACTACACTCAGCCCCAGCAGTCCCCTCGGCAGTCCCCTTGGCTCTCCCCAGGGACACACATCCACAGATGCTTGCCTCCCCCCGACTGGCACCTCCTGTTAGCTCTGCAACAGGCTGTTGCACAGAGAAGTGCTTCTCCCCGCACAACTACACTGCTGGATCCGTGAGCACCAGGGAAGCTGCATAAAAGAAGAGTGATGTTAATGAACGCAAACATTCGGCCTAACAAGCACGTGTAATTGCAGTGAAGCAGTAAACTTGCTTTGTTCATCCTTCCTCCCATATAGAAGTCAACATTGCAAGGGGTATTGTCAGAGCACCCCGTGTCAGTGGAGGGAAGCAGTTGCTGTTTGACTCGTCATGTGCAGGTGTAAGCAGAAAGCCAAGCAGCTGAGGTAGGGTGTAAAGGCTGGGTCTAGAGAGCAGCAATAAGAGATGCTCCTTAAGGTCTTGTGAAGACTGTAGCTCAGATGCTGCCAGCAGGAGCGGGATTCGTGCCTCTCTGTACCGAGCAGGAACTGAGAACTGGCAAGTGTCCACAGAAAAACAATAAAAATAGCCATGAAGTCAAAGCAACTGTCCACTTCCCTGTGCTCAGTGAGGTGGGGACAGGTCCCGGTTTAGCTGTCTGCAGTCTACGGCACATCTAAGATGCGGCCGCAAGCTGGCTTCCACCTTCTGATTCCCATCTATCCTAAGCACATTCTCCTCTTCTGCTGCGTTCTTATTTCTTCCCTTCAACTGTTGTTCCCCGCAGCCCTCCTGGATCTGGCTGGTGTCCACCAGATCAATGGCACATGGATGGGATCCACCACTTTACCGTGTACCTACATGCCCTCAGAAGGTTTCACACAGCAAACGCTCAGCTGGAGGGTAGACCGAGACTATAGCACCTCTACCATCTTTCGGAGGGATGATTCTGGTGACCACATCTTGTTGTCTCGGTTCCGAGACCGGGTCAGCGTCCCCAAGAACAGCCCAGGGGATGCCTCACTCCTAATTGAGAACCTCGAAATCCCTGACAGTGGACACTACACATGTCAAGTCATCTGGAGGTCTAAAAATAACAGCTTGATAACAAAGGAGGTGACCACTACGATTAAAGTTGTCAAAGGTAAATCCAGCAATAAAGCCCTGCTCTTGTATAGCCAGTCTAATCCGCAGAGCATGTAGGAGAAGAAGCAGCTGGTGGGAATAGTCTTTCAGACCATACTGTCTACCCACATCCAGGCTGGGTGTCAAGGCATCTGGATGGGAAGAATTTCTCCTCCTCCCTTGCTGTGTTAGCCCTTCTTCTCCACTTGTGGAGGTGTAGGGATTGACTGGGGAAGGGGGATCAGTTAGTACACACCCCAGTCTGGATCTACCCATGGGCCACTTGAACCCATGGTGCTTGAGGTAACACCCAGGTCTGCTTTTGGTTCTGTACAGGTAGCCAGCATCTCTGTGGGTCTTGTAGCAAGTGGGACAGCAAGTGCGTGTTGTGCTAGTGAAATCTGCCTGCTCCCCTTCCCGAGCATCATCACTGTGTGCCAGAAACAACTGCCTTTCTGCACAGGGGGCACCCACTCAACCGAGCAGGACTTGTGTGATGTGGCAGTAGCAATGGTGGAATAGCTGGTGTAAACCTGGCTTTAGGCACAGGTGAACTGAGCTCAGCCTGTGCAGAGAGGTGATGGGAGAGCGGAGCCCCTCTGCCTCCTGGGGAAGCACAGAAAGCCAGAGCATGAGCTGCCGTGGAGGGGGGACCTTCCCCACCGCGACCATGGCCAGCGTGACCTGGGCCCCATCTGCCTTGTCTTCCAGTTGCGGTGACCAAGCCCGTCATCATGGCCGGCGAGCTGGGGCTGACGGTCCCGGCAGG